CTGGCTGAGGCCTTCCAGTCTGTGATAGGTTTTTACATGCTGGCAGGCGCTGAGTTTCCCAATCCCTCTCCCACCACAAGGCACCCCTGCATGGTTGCTTAATGTCTGCAGCAGGGAGAGTTGGGATTGTGGTCATTGAGCAAGTCAGCCACATGTCTGTCTCACTTCATGACCACAACAACGTACAACCAACATTTCAGGCTCAACTGTGGTCATAAGTCAAGGACAACCTGCACTTGTATGGAACATTAATTGGATTCACACAAATTAGGTTTATGAATTAAGCTATCTGAAGCTATTTACACAACATAAGGAATGATAAATTAATCAAACAGGCTTGATTGCATAAAATACTAAACCACCCAAAAAATGTAACTAGGGTTAAAACTAAGCTATTTTACTCTGTTGCATGAATGCAGTCATTAGGTCTTTAATTGCCCTGGTTAAGAATGTAATGCAAGTGTACAAAAATGTTTCACATTACAAATAGTTTATATTTTTAGAAATGCAGTTTGCACCTTGCCAAATTGAAGCACATATGGTAGTTTATGGAAGCTTTCTATCCATATACTAAAATTAAATATCAGTGCTAGACATTTAGATGTTGCCCCAGGCAAGACAGAATTGTAAGTAAAGCTTGATTTCCCCCAAATCTAAAACCCTAGAAATTAAACACTGATAACACAATGAAAAATACCTATAGTTGAGCTGAAAAAGCTGCATTTGGCCATTTTCTATAATCCAACAAGTATATTCTCTTCTTCTGTATAACATACGTTGACAAAATTGAACTTTTTCCTTGTAATAAAGTTAAAAACGAAGAGCTATGAGGGATTTGTTTTTCACACTTAAACAATTCTAATCTTCTGCTTGTGTGGTCATGCTGGAAAAATAAGCCTTGTTTTATCAAAAGGAGCTTCAAGGATCCGCAAGGATCTAGTACGGTTAGCACTACTTCACACCATATGTCCATGAAGTGCAACAAAGAAGAGCAACAAAGATGATTAGGGGACTGGAGGCTAAAACATATAAGGAACAGTTGCTAGAATTGGGTATGTCTAGTTTAACGAAGAGAAGGACAAGGGGGGACATGATAGCAGTATTCCAATATCTCAGGGGCTGCCATAAAGAAGAGGGAATTAAGCTATTTTCCAAAGCACCTGAAGGCAGGACAAGAAGCAACGGGTGGAAACTAATCAAGGAGAGAAGCAACCTAGAACTAAGGAGAAACTTCCTGACGGTGAGAACAATTAATCAGTGGAACAGCCTGCCTCCAGAAGAAGTAAATGCTCCAACACTGAAAGTTTTTAAGAAGAGACTGGACAGCCATTTGTCCGAAATGGTGTAGGGTTTCTGCCTGAGTCCCTTCCAACTTTACTACTATTACTATTACTAAGTGCTTTTTCAGAATGATGAACAATCACTAGAATAATGATGTGTCTGCATAATTACTGAAATAATGCTGTGTTAGTAGTATGTGACTAACCTAATGCGCATTGCACTTGGATACAATGTATGTAGCAAACTCTTTCCATTGTATACCCGTGAGAAATGAACCTAATGTATTACAATGTGTATTACAATGTGTATTCCTTTGTTCCTGAGAAAAAGAAAGTATAAAACTGAAGTCTGAACCCGCCCTCGGGGGGGGGGGGTTCAGAATTGCTAGTTGCTACTGCTTCTGAACCTGCACAATAAATCTCTCTGCTAAAACCCTCTGGAATTCGTAAGAGTCCTTTCGTTTTCCACAAGAAGAGCACTTAGATCAAAGCTTGAATTGAAACTTCTCCTTAAATCTCTCCAAAGACTTAGTCAATTCTTTGAGTGAAAGTTTGAGAGCTGCATGCTAGGCTCCACTCAAGGGCTGAAAGAAAGTACGGTAAGAAAACAAATCATACACACAGGTGTAAACATCCATAAGCTGGATTCCCACATCAGTCTTAGTCATGGTTTAGCTGTTGAATAAACTAGAAGTAGGTAGGTTCTCCAATACTTTCAAGCATAAATCATGGTTTTCAAAACGTAGTGGCTAAGTTCCTACAATATATACAAATTAAATAAATTACATTATGGCTTACTGCAATGAAATACCAGTCAGAATGTTCTTAGACTTAGATTAAAGGAACTTCTGAACTTAATAGAGTTTTTCTGCTGCCCTTCAAATCATAGGTTGCTGTGCTCCAGTAGATCTTTTCTGCTGTGGTTTTTTGGGTGTGAAACACTCTTCTTAGAGAGATGCAGTTGGTTTTGTATCATCCAGATTTATTTTAGCATTAGTATCAAATTCTCACATGCAATGTAGCAAGGGATCGCCAGCATTTTTGGTCTTAGCCAAGTACTTCAGCATCTCCCCATGTAATATTTAGAATATTTAAGTCTTCCATGAATGTTTTTCACCATGTATTTAGAGGGCATCCTCTTGGTTGTTTGGCAGCGGGGGTGGGGGGCTGCATCTCAATGCCATTTGGAGGATTCAATAGTACTCCATGCAGAGAATCTGACCTGCAAGTTGGAGACTTCTCTGTGCGACAATGTTATGTATTTTCCAGGAGAAACTCTTTTGGAGAGCTTCTTTGTTAGAAATATGGTCAAAATAACAAATCTTTAGGATCTGGTGAAAGCATCTCTGTTGGAAAATGTCAAGTCTCTTGTTAATACTTGCTGACATCTTCCAAGTCTTGCTGGCATGAATAGCTGTTGGGATCACTACAGAGGTGAGCAAATGGAGTTTAAGTTTCAGTGATATAAACAACCAGATTTTATTTATCCACTGAAAAGTAGCTGTTGCTTTTTCAATGCGGCACTTGACATCTGTGTCTGTATCTCCATTTTGGGTGATTACACTACCTAAATAGGTTAACCATCCAGATTTTAGTAAGGAGTAAGTCTTTTCCTATTTCAGCTTTTAGTTATACTGATGACTGTCTTAGGATTAGGGAGATATGTAGTGTATATACATCCTGGGTAAGAAAGAGACATTATCCTTCTGGTCATTTGTTATTTTGACCATATTTGTTATTTTGACCATTATCCTTGTGATTTCTGATGGCTTATGAAACTTATATCTTGAGAAGTAGAATGCTACTGGCTATTCCGAACTTAACTAGTGGGAGAAAAAAGTTGTCACTCCAAGTCATGATTGTGGATTTCCTGGAAATGTCTAATGATTAATGGCAGAAAGATAAATGTGATGGACTAACATCTAAGACAGTGTTTCTTAACATTGGCAACTTTAAGATGCATAAACTTCAAATCCCAGAATGCTGGCTGGGGAATTTTAGCACATCCTAAAACTGCCAAGGTTGAGAAAATCTAGGAAATCTTTATATATTTTTAGGGAGGAACAGCTATCCCCAATACATAGTTTTAGTTTAGTTAATGAACTTTTAGTTGGCCTATTTTCCATATAAATTTTATGAATAAGTTATTTATTCAAAGAAATATTTATTTGGCATTAACATTAGAATACCTCTTAATATATAGATTACCTTTGAGCTGTATTCATTTTAATGAAATTAATTTTATCCCACCAACTCAGTGAAATTTTGATCCATCTATCAATATCTATGGCAATGTTCTCTAAATAATATCCTAAACAATCTTAAAGCAGTATTGGTGGAACTGGTGAGGCTGTCTTGCAAAGTGACCTGGGAAGATTTTGAGCCTGTTAAACCTGAGGAAGCGGACAAGGCCCTCTCAGGTACTGGTTTGGCAACTTGTATATTAGATCCTGGCTTATTAAAGCTGCATGGGAAGGGATGAGGAATTGGCCTGGGCAGCAGCCGACTCCTCCTTGAAAAAGGGAATGGTTCCATCAGCTCATAAAGAAGTAGTAGTGCACCCATTTCTCATTGCTTAATCTAATTAAGCTAGACAGTTTTCACCCAATTTACAATCTTCCCATTAGGGAAGATTGTGGAGAGAGTGGTCGCATAGTAGTTGAAGAGAGCCTTGGATGAAGCAGATTATCATTCTAGACTCTTTTTAGTAGGGTTTAGGCCAGGATTTGGGACTGAGATGGCATTGATTGCACTCAGGGATGATCTCTGGTGGGAACAGGATGGAGATAGTGCCTCCAGTCTAGCTATTCCTGACCTTTCAAGCTCTGGGAATTGGGGGTGAGTGGCATTGTATTGTACTGATTTCCCTCCTTCTACCAGGAAGTTGACAGATGGGGAGAAATCCAGGTTGTGCCCCACTACTTTGGTGCCTCAGGATTGGTTCTCTTTCCTCTCCTGTTTAACATCTACAAGAGACCATTGGATGAAGTGATCCATCAGTTTGGGGTGAAATATAATGAATATATGTATGACACTCAATTTTATATCTCTATTAAAGGCCCCTTGAGAAATGCTGCAGATATCTTATCCCAGTGTCTGGAAGCTATTCAGATTTGGATAGGGCAAAACAGACTGACTCAACCCTAGTTAGACAGAGTGCCTGTGGATATTTGGACCTTCGCAGTCAATGTTCTCCCATCTCTAGTTCTAGACAGACCAATGTGCAATCTGCTTGAGCAGGGGGTTGCCCTAGAAGACCCCAAGGTCCCTTACAGTTCTATTCTGATTGATTGATTGATTGATTGATTGATTGAAACAATTGTGGGAAGCTTGGTTTCCAGAGGAGTGAATCAGCAGAACAATCTCAGCCTCCCTCATCTTTTGAAGGTTGGGAAATTCCTCCAGGATACTGAAACTCTGCCAGGCCAAATTGTTATATACTGAAACACAGATTCTATCCCTAGCAAAGCTCAAATTAACAAATAACATGTTACTCTCCTAACAATTAGAAAGCGTAAAGATGGGCTAAGGTTTCTCGGATCTTGTGAGTTTTCCAGCGGGAAGCTTTCTCCCAACTTTGGGAGATTGATCAGCAGTACTTTTGGACCTGACACCTTTCCGCCAAAGAACAATCAGTTCTTTCACTTCGCGCGGAAAGGGGCGGGGAAGGGAGGGAGAGAAGGCCTCACCCTTTCCCTTTTCTGTAACTGTTTCGGCCGATCCCAAGAGGAGGGGCCGGGGACTCCCGTCTTTCCAAGCTCCAGTCGGAGCGAGGTTGCTCATTCGAGTTTGGCTTTCTGGCACCGAGCTCCAAACTTCCTGGAACGTCGCTGGAGATTAGCGACCGAGAGGGTGAAGGGAAAGAGTGGCTGCCCCGCAGAAACTTAATTGAGCGCAGGAACGATCTTTTCTTCTTCGGTAGCTGGGGGGGTAAAGAGACTCTCCCCAACATGGGCCTCCTGGAGTGGCTGCCCTTTGGCGCGTACAGTCTGGCGCTCGCTACCTCTCTGGCTCTCGGGGCATTGTGTGTTTTCGGCAGGAGGAAAAGGTAAGGGAAGACTCGCTGGCCTGCGGCCTCGTATATCTTGGCTTTAGCTAATCGGGAGAATAAGGCATCTAGGAGAGGGAAGGCGACTCCCACTTTTCTCGAGAAGCGTCGCACAGAAGCAGCTGGGGGAATAGGAGCTTGCCCTGCTGGTAGCGGACTGTCTATGGAGATTCTCAGCCATCCAGTTCATGGTTGTCCTAAAGGTGATTTTTCAGGAGGCAACTGGACTTTCTTGTGTTTTTTTTGAAGAATGTCCTTCAAAGAAAAACAAGGAAGTCCAGTTGCCTCCTAAAAGAGCACCTTTGGGACTTGTAGCGGACGTTTTTACGGATTCACGAAGTGAAAGCTACGGAAGAAAAAAAAAGTTTTTCTAAAATGCCGTCCGATACAAATGAAGACTGGTCTCCAGAGAGGAAGACAGGATACTGATAGAACGACTCATTATTATTGTGCTCCAATCTGATGACAATTTACCGAGAAGTTAAAAATTCTTTTACTAGTTTATGACGCCTCGATTGTCCCTAATAAAGATAATATTCATATATGGATTTATAATCGAATGAACCCAGATATCTTTTGTATAGGTACACTGACCTTACTGAATTCAAATTTCAAGCCTTTAATGTGGCACAAAATTACCACTCAAGAGTGAGCCTTATTTGTTGGCACAGGGGTAAACATTAGATTAATAATCCACATTGGACAATTATTATGACCAAAGAACGCTAGAAAGTGATGAGCAAGCTTCCTGCTCTACAAGATGTCATCAGATTCGATATAGAGAAAGTAATGGACAAAGATTGTTTGATTTGAAACCCAGAATGCATCAGACTAGAATCTGATGGCTTGGACTTCAGTGCCCAGTAACGGAATGAGCATGACCATGACCAGAAACCGAGAGACTGAAAGAATTGTAGTCCAAAGCACTAACATATGTGCAGCTTGTACATTATGCTTGCTGTTAATTTTTTAATTTTTTTTTCTCAACCTAGTTTCTTAGATTTGCAGAGTACACTGAACTATGTGGGTGGAATTTATATAACGTGCTGGATTAAAACATATTTGGCTAGCTTGTGATTCATTATGTTGTGCAAACATGTTGTTCAAACCCAATAATTGTGCAACAATGATCTTGCAACAATCACTGTCTTCATATGAAAGAAAATAAAAAAATTATCTAGCATATATTCTACATTTCATAGTATCCCTTAATTGTTTGAAGTTAGACAGACACTAATGGCTATGTTTATATTAGGCCTACCATTTCTGTAACATTAAAATCTGCACTACAGTAGAGGCAGTAAAGAAATACAGAAACGTATCCTCTTTGCTGCTATCTAGTAGTCATCTCGGTTTTTTATATTAATTAGACTTGGTTTTTATAACTAACTAGACTAAATTGAGTTTATCTACTTTGTGATCCAGTGCAGACCCTGCCTCCCCATAATGAAAATATAAATCCAGCAATGATCACAATTTGTCTTCTGTCATAACTTAAATATACCAGCTTCTTGTTAAGTAGCAAAAAGAAATAAGTTGGATATTCTTTTTTGATAGTCTTAGCAGGAAATTCTTATTGTCTCATGAACATTTGGACCAGGAGTGAGTAAACAAACCTCCACCCTATTGGAATTTATCTCTAGGCTGCCGTGGCTGTGACTTGGGCATTGTACTGAATGGAGTTAGATGGTATCTTCTCTGGCAACAGGAATCTTCCATTGAATTCTGTATTTAGAGAGCTTTATATTTTGAGCTGTTTGCTCCTTCTGACTCTTTCTTGGAGAACTCACTAGGTGGCAGTTTAGGGCAATCTCACTTCACTTCTGACTTGGTTACATGAGGGTACTTTAGTTTAAATAAACACAGGGTTCTCTTCTGCCTCTCTGTTGGCTGTTTTAGTTCACATGCAACATATTTACTCAGTTCTTGACTTGGTTCAATGTGTTGTATGAATCTAGCTATTTATTCCAGAATCCTATCTCAGGATTGGATTGAATATAGGAAAGCCTGTAATTCCTGCCCTGTTGCTTGATGTCTTTCATTAGGAGAGAAGAAGTGTATTTGGGGAACCCTCTACTTGCTGCACATCCAGCTAGAATCAGCTCTGGCACTAATTAGAAAATATGAGTCATGGCATAACTCAGAACTCAAAAAACTGAAACTCTATCTTCAAATGACAAATTGAAAAAAATCCACAGAAAATTAAAGAACAATGTTTTTTAAATCAATAGACCATGAGGTCTAGTCCAGCCTTGGACATGAAATTGAGCTGGGTGACTTTGAGCTGGTCACTCTCAGTTGTGGAGAAAATAGAAGGAGGAAGGAGTATAAGGTATGTTTGCTACCTTGAGTTATTTACAAAAATAATAAAGGTGGAATATAATAAATAAAATTAGATATACTTCAACACACACACACACACACACATACATATTTATACAAGTACTCCTCACAGATGATTGTCTTGTACAATAATTATTCAAATTTACAATGGTTGCCATTTGTGACCTTCACAGCCAGCATCCAACAAGCAGTCAATGGAGAAGCTACCAGGTAGTCACATGATATTGCATTTAATCACCCACAGCGATTCCCTTTACAAGCGCAGCAGAACTGAAATCATAAATCAAGCGTGATCATATGACATTATATTTAATAACCACATTATTTAATGGAGTTGAAAGTCCTAATTCAATTGGTAAATGAGGACAATCTGAATATGTATATCTATATGTATTTAATTGTATGTGTATACTGTATATATGTGTGTGTATAATGTATATGTATACACACAGAGAGAATTATTTACCAATTCACACAAAATATAAAATATAAAGAAGGGAACTAGGGGATCAGCCATACTGGACTTAATTCTCACTAACAGAGATTAATGATAGAAGGTGTTGCAGCTACAGGGACCTTGGGGAGAAGTGATCATGTAATATTGGAATTCAACATTATGTAAGCACAAGCACTAGAACACAGTCAAATTTAGAGTCTTGGACTTTAAGAGGGCTAATTTCAGTAAATTTAGAGAGAGCTTGGGAAAGATTCCATGGATGAGAATCCGCAAGGGGAAAACAACTCAAGAAGCTTGGGAAATTTCGAAAAGTGAGATTATAAAAGCCCAGTTTAGCACAATACTAATGAAGAAGAAAAATAACAGCTCTGAAAAGAAACCAGCATGGCTGCATAAAAAAACTTTCTGATAAATTAAAAGACAAAAAGGACAAGTATAAAAAGTGGAAAGAGGGATGCTTAACTAAGGCAGAATCACTTGCAAATAGCTTGCAAAGATGAAGTGAGGAAAGCTAAGGCTTAAAATGAACTAAGGCTTGTGGCAAAAGTCAATAATAACAATAACAAAAAGCTTCTTTCAACATGTAAAAATCAAGACAAAAGTAAAGGAAATGATTGGTCCATTAGTGGCAGAAAGTGGCAAGAAGGTGACAAGCAACAGGGAGAAAGCAGAAATACTTAGCTTCCTTTTTGCATCTGTCTTTACACAAAGGGGAAAAAACAGTCCAATCTATCAAAAAGAGTACCCTAAAAAACATTAGTAAGACAAGTTAAATAGGCAAGAAAATGATAAGTGAGCACTTGTCCGCCCTAGACGAGTTCATATCACCAGGATCAGATGGATTACACACCAAAGTTCCAGAAGTGAGGCATCTGCAAAATAAAAGAAGTGCCTGTTAGTATAAGATGGATACCACCAGATGGATTCGTAATTGGCTGACCAACCACACTCAATGTGAAGTCCTCAATGGAATTCTATCTACTTGAGAGAAGCATGCAATGAGGTACCCCAAGGATCTGTTTTAGGCCCAGTAGTCTTCAACATATTTATTAATGATTTGGATGAGGGGATAGATGGGGAGCTCATCAAATTTGCAGATGACACCAAGCTGGCAGGAATAGCCAACACTCTAGAAGATAGGCTTATGATACAGAAGAATCTTGACAAACTTGAACATTGGGCGCTATCTAACAAAATAAAATTCAGTTGTGAAAAGAGTAAGGTTCTACATTTAAGCAAGAAAAAACAAATACACAGGTACAGTATAGGTGGTACCTGGCTCAGTAATAGTAACTGTGAGAGGGATCTCGGAGTTCTAATGGGCAATCACTTAAATATGAGCCAGCAGTATGCTGCAGTTGCCAAAAAAGCCAACACAGTACTAGGCTGCATTAACAGAGGGATACAATCAAGACCATGTGAAGTGTTTATACCACTTTATAAAGTCTTGGTAAGACCACACTTGGAATACTGCATCCAGTTTTGGTCACCATGATATAAAAAAGATATTGAGACTCTAGACTAAAGAGTACAGAGAAGAGCAACAAAGAGGATCAGAGGACTGGAGGCGAAAAGCTATAAAGAAGAGTTGCTGGAATTGGGTATGTCTAGTTTAATGAAAAGAAGGACTAGGGGTGACATGATAGCACTGCTCCAATAACTCAGGCATTGCCACAAAGAAGAAGGAGTCAAGTTATTCTCCAAAGCACCTGAAGGCAGGACAAAAAGCAATGCATGGAAACTAATCAAGGAGAAAAGCAACCTAGAATTAAGAAAAAAATTCCTGACAGTTAGAACAATTAATCAGTGGAACAACTTCCTTCCAGAAGTTGTGAATGCTCCAACACTGCAAGTTTTTAAGAAGAAATTGGACAACCATTTGTCTGACATGGCTTTCCTGTCTATGCCATTGGACTACTAGAAGACCTCCAAGGTCCCTTCCAACTCTGCTATTCTATTCTATTCTATTCTATTCTATTCTATTCTATTCTATTCTATTCTATTCTATTCTATTCTATTCTACTCTACTCTACTCTACTCTACTCTACTCTACTCTACTCTACTCTACTCTACTCTATTCTGAATTATATTCATTTTGAGAGTATTTACCCAGCTCCAAAGGCTCTTGAGATTTGTTGGCTGAAACAAAGGTTAAGATTTTAATACCAACATTAAAAATGAGATAAATTAAACATAAATT